CAAGTGGACCAATCTCCCTCCTCTTTTCCGTGTGCTGCCCTGCTGGCTTGGACATCTTGATGTGTTTCTTCCCAGCTCTGCTGGAAAGAAGGGGCAGGCTGTGTCCTATCAGAAGATGACTCCAGGTTGCAGATGGAGGTGTGCTAAGGAGGGCTGTAAGTTGTCAGGGTTTTCCTCATGATTAGCTCTAAGCAGACGCAGTGTGTATGCACTAAGTTCAGGTGTCTCCTTTTCTCAGTTAGTTCAGGGGCCCAGCTTCTTTATTGCATCAGCTTCTTATCTTTGCCTTGTGGATTAGGGTAATCACACTGCCCTACCTGACACATTGTTGGAAAAAAACATGTGAAAAATCTGAGGCACTTGATAGTTCTGGCAGTAGGGGCTTACAAAGAGTAACACAGTCCATTTGAGAGGACTGAAAAAGTTGTGGTTGTTCAGGGGACCACTGTTGTTGCTGCTTCGAAACACTCATGCAAAGTCTACAGTCCTTTTCACCCCGTGAATATTTTTTAATTTGCTGTGCAGACAACCAACTTCTCAAGCAGTTCTGCTTTGGAACTGGTGGTTTTCAAAAGTGTGGTTTAATAACTTGATTTAAACTAATCTAAATTGAGACCCCTGCTGAAGAGAAGGTCCCGTCTGACATCACCTTCTTTGTCCCAGCACTTGTGATACTGCTGCTTTATACCAAGCTGACTCTGGAAGCTGATCTGGCTGGAAACTCTCCTGGCCAAAGTGGTGGTGGGGAAACAATTTTCAGCCCATTTGTCAAACTGCATCTGAAATGGCAATACAGGTTCCAGCTACAAAAACGTATTGCTTGGGTTGTCTACTTATCACGAGTTTTGCATCATTAAGTGTTATGCTTTCTTGGCCTGATATAATTGCAGCAGATTGCACACATGAACTGTTAATTATTTTATTTTTAAAACAGAAATTGCAGAACAGGAAAATAACATTCCAACATGTTTGCTTTTGGAGCTAACCTACCACAGCAGTCTGTTAGTTTGATAATGGTTAAACTCGCAAGCCTGTGCCTCAACAGGGTGCAGTAGGGTACCATTAAGGCAGCCATCTGTTGAACGTATATACTGGAGGCATGAATTGCTTCACGTTTTGGGTTTCTGACTGGTTGTAATGTAGTCATGTTCTCTGGATACCACTGATCTGCACTGAAAAATGCATGGGAAGATCAGAGTTCAATGAAAGGTGAGCATCCAAAATTGGGATTGATGACTGGGAACCTGTCAGATAAGCACTGGGTACAGAGCAGGCTTCACAGGGAAGAGTGAAACCTCATGGGCGTAAACATGCTGATAGTAAACACTGCTCTGTGGCCAGAGTCTTAGCTGCTTGAGTTGCTTAGCGATTCAATAGATCTGTAAAACTCCATTTGCAGACCAAGGCTACCATTATGTTGGATTGATTCATCAGGGTGAGCAGCTAAAACATGTTAAATTCTATCTGAGTTTTCTAGCATTAATTTAAAAATGAATGTAGTTGGCTCTAAATGGACATTTGTTTTAGTATCTTGAAGATCTGACTTTCCTCTATTAAAGCAGAATAATGTATCTATATGGTGCCCTAACTTGAGCAGTACATAAAGATTAGTAAATAAGACCCCATTAAAAATACTTATAATGTAAGTAACATGGGTCCCAATAGCCTTTCTAATGTCCATTAATGCTTATTCTGAGGATCAGAGCTCATTTTACTGAGCCATTTAGTCAAACCGTGTGATTATTTAGAAAGTTAATTCATGCATACTAAAATCTAGCTTAAGTAATGCAGAGGGTAGGAGGTAAAACTCTATGGAGACGATAGTCCTTTTTGTTATTTAATGATCAGCCATAATTAACTTGCAAATTTGAAATAATTAGAACAAATTAAAGGTATTTAACTTTGCCTCCCTAAAGAAAAATTCAAATTGCACCAAATGCAGCTTTAAATTATTCAAGTCTCAGAGGTCTGTGCTGGGTTTTTTTACAATGCCTTTTCTATGATGAGAATACCAATCTGCTTTTTGTCAGAAAGCATCCTATCAAGTAATTGTTCTTTGTGTCTAATAAATGACAGCTATTCTTCTTTGTAAAAGTATTTCAGTCTCTGAAGACTACATCAGCATTTCCATGGCATTTTAATTCAATAAAACAAAAGGTTAATGTTTTTCTACTTTTTAAGGAATGCAAATACTAGCAGTATTCAATGGGTCCTGAATGACATTTAAAATTTGCCATTCATGCTCAGCAGGGATATCGCGATATAAGGCTCAGACAAAATGGCAAAAGTGTTCAAGGTGTGTTTTCCTTTGTTGGTGATGTACTTCAGTATTCATAAGGAGGCAGCAGCGCTGAGACTCGCTTGTTTTCTGGCAATGCTACTCTACAACTCCTGCCTTAGTGTGTAGGTTAATAAGGTCTTTATTTAGACAGTCTTCTCTGTTGTCTAGTTTCAGGGAATAGCGTGAAAATTCGTCGGATATTGTGGTGCCCTGCAGGAAGTCCTACTAACCATGCTGCATTTGAGTGATACGATGGATTGCTGGATTTGAAATAGAGAAGGACCTGTTTTGTCACTTAATCTGTCTAGCTATACATAACTGAACCCTTTGGACTGTATTTTAGTTTTAAATATTCTGGGTTGCAATAGTCACGTCATTCATGTTACTAATAATTCCACAGGTGAATGAGTAACTATGTTTGAAATAGATTTTTTTTTTTTTTAATACCCCCTTTTTTTTTTTTGTTTAATTTTGGTACATTGTTAATTATTGAATTTTTGTATCTCTCTGCGTTCTCCTTGTCCCTTCTTGGTTTACAGACCTTTCAGATTAAGCGTTTTTCATTTTAAGATTGGACTCTCTATTCTTACACTTGAACAAAAATTTAGCATGAGCTTTCTTTCATTAAATACTAAAGAACCAGGCTCTAATTAATTGTTTAGTGAGCTGTAAATGCAAATAGACTTGCTTTTGTTATTTCCTCATAAATTAGCTTCTGTAACTTCTTCTTGGTGTCTGTTTCTGTTTGAATTGCCTCTGCCATAGCATTATTTAAACCAGAGCTCGGTATTCTAGAGATAACTGCACCATATAAAAGGTATTGCAGTGAATCAGTCAAGTAATCGCCACCTCATCTACAAGCCAAAGGTCACTGTCTTCACAGCATATCTGTAGATTTTAATTAAATGTGCTTTAAAAACTCAGAAAGCGTGCAAATAATGACAACCTCAGTGTTTTTAAATGGTGTTAATCATCCAAGTACAGGCAAATGGAATATCAAGTCCTGTATTATCAGAGAAAACTGGTCAAGTATTGCACCTTTAAGGCTCTTTAAACAGTTATTAGGGTCCAAACCCACCTCTTGCTGTACTCTGGGTTGCAGGAATTAGTAGGTTAATAATTTCATATAATTCAAATAAGATACTGATTTAGTCCACCATAAATTTTAGCAACACTTTGCAATATTATTCGTGACCACACAGTTCGAAGCCCTAAAGTAAACGGAAGTTATTCAGAGAAGTTTTATCTGACACTTCAGCCTATTATTACAGGTCATAAGCCATTATATACTGTTCTGCATTAATAATACAGGAGTAATACTAATTGTCCAACAGGCGCAGTGGGCCCTATTAAACAATGTCTTATGCAGCACATTGGTTTGAAACTTTTAATTTAGCTATCATTTTCTAATGGGGACATCAGATATCTGCTTTTTCCTTAGATGTACGGTAGCTTCAGTAGTGTAAGCTTCCAGGTAAAAGATTCTTGTGAATCAAGCTCCATAAAGCTGTATCCCAAATAATACAAACTCAGTGCTAGTCTTTGGGTTGCCTATGTAAAATAAGTGCTTAAACAGGAAAAAATTTCTTTAAATCTTTGTTAACTTGGGAAAGCTGTATGCCACTCGCATGCACGCAAGTGGTATAATCTTGGGGTGAATTGTGTTCCTTCATGTGGATAACTCAAAGGCTTTTTTTATGTTTTTAATTGCTTTTTATAATAGTGATGGGACTAATGGTCTATATGTGTTGCGGATCCTCATTTAAAGCAGTAGAGCAGAATTTGAAAGCAGTAGATTGTCTTTACTGAGAGGAATATGGGTCTCCATAGCCTTCTGTCTTGCCAAAATGTCCGGGTTTGCAGAGACGGAAATCATGCTTGCTCCACATTATGAAATTTGCCTCCTGGCTCTATCTGTGCAGTGTTTAGAATCTTGTGCTGAAGTTCAACTTGAACCACGATGGTTCTAGTTAGCTTTCTCTTTTCTTACTCTGCTCAACCTGCTGCACTTTCTGCACCAGATAGTCTCCCACCAGCTTGTCATTCATTCTCTATCCTGCTCTGTTCATTCATCTCACCTCTTTTTGTCTCATCTCCTTTCATCCCTTATCTTCTTGAATCAATGTATCACCATCCCTGGAGGAATTTAAAGGATGGGTAGAGGTGGCACTTAGGGACATGGTTTGTTGGTGGATTTGGCAGTGTTAGGTTTACAGTTGGTCTCAATGATTTTAAAGGTCCTTTCCAACCGAAACGATTCTATGATCTGCTTCTCTTTTGCAAATCACGACTCTAGTTTTCTCTTCACGTAATGTTCTGTTTCCCCTTCATCCTAGCAAAGTGAGCATTTTTCAAATAACTCTTACTTCCAGACTTACTCCACTGTGCTGAACGAAAGTACTTTCTGTATCTTCAGCTCATTTGTCCTGTCCTACCCACTCAGGAAATCCAGGACCTAATGGTTTAGGGAATATGCCAAATGCCACAAAACTCCAAATGTAATTGTCAGACTGCTGCCAGCTGCTGATAACCAGAGACTCCTGATAAAGCAGATTGGTAGCTCTTCAATCCTTAGGCATCCTGCTCACATTATAAATGGATTCAACAAGAGCTCAACCAGCAGCATGGCTGTTATGCTTCTGGAGAGTGAAAGTAGGGGAGAGGGCAGTAAAAAGGACTGAATGCAAGATGTAATAGTGTGATCTTTCTTTCCTCCCAGTGTACCGGTGTTAAAATGTGAAGATTATTTTCCAAGGACACCTCCAGTGAGCAAAACCTCCAGAACACCAGGCAGCAGTGGTGGGAACAGTTCGGGGAAGAAAATGATTTGTTTTGGTGCAAACACGGAAGATGGGCAAACCCTTCTGATGCAAACCAAGAGGGAAGGCACCAGGTCAAGGAAAGGTAAGGGGAAGTATACTATATTGCAGGGCCATGAGTGTGCTGATGGCGTTTAGAAATTGTTTATAAGTGTTAAAGTGTGTATCAGTAAAATGCACAATTAGAGAGAGAGAGGATTGCAAGTTGCTTAAAACAACCCAAGAGAAGGTGGCTACATTTAAAATAATAAAAAGCATAGAAAACTTTGTAAATAACAAGTGATCATCTTGGCTGGTGTTCCTGATGGAAGGGAATAAATACCCCTTTAATCTCAAAAAGCTACTTCAACAATTCTTTTTCCTTTCCCAGTAAGCAGAGAGAATAAGTGCAGTGGGTCTTACTCTTGAAATGTAATCTTCTTCACATTCTTTTCCTCCCCAGTAATGGCTCCACCATCACAACCTGATATTTTGCCACACAGAGATGTCTGTACAGCTAGAATCTGTCCTGCTCTTAGCTTAGTACCTCCACTTAAGGAGCAGAGAAGCAGTCTGTCTTAGGAGGAGAAAGGGTTGGGAACAAAAGCAGCTTGGATGTTTCACTGCTGAGCCTTGAACATAATCCTTGGTTCAATTATGAGCTAGCTTTTTTTTTTTTATTTTAACTTGTCAGCCAGTTTGCTGTATATGTCAGCATAAAAATAAAGAAAATGGCAAAATGAGAAGAAATGTGGTGCAGTTCTCAAAGGAACAAATAACTTGTGTTATTGGTTAAGACCGTACCAACATTAAAAAGCAGTCCCTGTGAAGAAACTTTCAAAAGGGTATCATCAGCCTGGACCCAAACAGTGGCTGAGGTTAATCTCTTCCAAGGCACAGCTACAAAAGTTGGAAGCCTGTAAAGGGCTTGTGTCCAAAAAAATCAATTTCTAATTTGAAACAAAATCATTTTTGACTAACAGGGGTTCAGGACCCATTACTTTTGCTGTATAGTCTGCTGACATTTCACACTTTCTGTTGTGCACAATGAATCCTAATAGTCATTTTATAACATTGCTACACCAATCAATTTAAGCAAGAGAAAGCCGTTACAATTCTGCAAAGTTTCAGGGGCAATTTTCACTGATGGTTTTCTTTTATGTTTTTTTCAGCTATCATTATTTTTTTCTTCTCTTTTCCTCTTCCTTCTCCCCTCTCCTTCTCAGTACTGTAGTGATGAAATTGAGATTTTTCACAGCTGGATGATGGGTTTTGTTCCTTGGATAGGGATAGTCCCCGAAAAGTAATTTATTTTCCATAGATTCGGGGAGGGGGGGAAAAATACAACCTGGCCTCTTCTTCACTCATTCATTTCATTTTGTGGTACTTAGGAGAAGTTACAAGCTGCACCTGTAATGCATATAGCAACTGAGCCGCACCTATGCTGATTTAGTGATCCTACTGGTCAGCATAACGTCTGAAGATGGTGGTTATCTTTTGCAAACACTTACTGGGAGTGCTAGCTTTGAAGAAGTAGAGCTACATGGCAAAATTTAACTTATAAACATTGGCACTTGCTGTGATACCAGATAAAGTTCAGAGAAATGCTTTCAAGCTGTGGAACAACCTCAGGTCTATTACTGATTTGAATAGCTTGTTTATCACAAGGCAAATTACCTAGCACTAATCACTGAAGTTGAAGTCTTCTGTATTTAGTACCTTTTTAATTGGCTTCCCTCTGTTATATGTTTGGACTCCTTTAACAAGCATACACACATGCTTATAAAATGCTTTTTCCATCTTTGGGGATCACCAGGGCACAAAGTCAAGTTTCTTAATTCTAGTTAGCTCTGGACTTAGCTGGCTCTGTCCTTGCTTCTGCTGAGTCTTCCCATCTGTTGCTGACCTGTGATTTCTGCTTCAAAATTAATTTTTTTATTAGGAAGCAATTATGTAGCATCTCACAAAAATAAAGCAAGGGGTGCTAACATTGTTTTCTGTGGTGAAATTTATAAAAATATGGTATTTGCCTTACTGCATCAGAGTGCTGAGCCAGCAAGCCTGGGGGTCTGTCCTGGACAGTGTTCAGTACCTGTTGTGTCAACAAGAAGTGATCCCTCATACTGCAGTGTGTTTATCTGAGCTCTAGCTAAGCCATTCAGTGTGGGAAAGGTGAACAAAGTCAACAAGATGATATCTCGAGGTATGAAACTTAATGTTATTTATCCACATAGGTTAAGGTGGCCTTTTGGTCAGAAAACAGCAGTTCTGGATACTGTGTACAGAAACATGTCCACTGAAAACTTCTTGACAGTCAGATGTTAACCTATTGCTACAGAGGTTTATTTTTCTCCTGCCTTGATCAGTCTTGTCGATTTAAATTGTACGTTCTTCAGGATGGGGACTCTCTCCAGACACATCTTAGTGCAGTGCCAGTGCTGATGTGGGCCTTTGGGCTCACTATGTAATCTCCCTGTACCACTAGGAATGGTGGGTGTATATGGGGGACAGTGCAACTCCTGATAGTGTCCCTCCACAGCAACATAACCAGTTGTACAAGATTTTGGTGCTATTTTGTTCAACTACCTTTATCGTCTTAAATTTTTTATTTATTTATATATTTTTAGAAGATAAAATGATTATCCAGAGAGACCTGGGAGTTTTGGTGGATAACAGGATGACCATGAGCCAGGAATGTGCCCTTGTGGCCAAGAAGGCCAATGGCATCCTGGGTTGCATGAAGAAGAGTGTGGCCAGCAGGTCGAGGGAGAGTCTCCTCCCCCTCTGCTCTTTCCTGGTGAGGCCACATCTGCAGTACTGTGTCCAGTTCTGTGCCCCTCAATTAAAGAGAGACAGGGAAGTACTGGAGAGAGTCCAGCAGAGGGCTACTAAGCTGATGAGGGGACTGAAGCATCTCTCTTGAGGAAAGGCTGAGAGACCTGGGCCTCTTCAGCTTGCAGAAGAGAAGACTGGGAGGGAACCTTCAAAGCTTACAGATATCTAAAGGGCGTGTGTCGAGAGGATGGGATCAGGCTCTTCTCGGTGGTGCCCAGTGGGAGGACAAGGGGCAACTGGCACAAACTGGAGCACAGGAAGTTCCTCTTGAACATGAGGAGGATCTTCTTTACTCTGAGAGTGACAGAGCACTGGAAAAGGCTGCCCAGGGAGGTTTTGGAGTCTCCTTCTCTGGTGATATTCAAAACCTGCCTGGATGTGATCCTGTGTGACCTGTTCTAGGCTAACCTGTTTTGGTGGGGGAGTTGGACTAGATGATCTCCAGAGGTCCCTTCCAACTCCTACCACTCTCTGATTCTGTGATTAATCAGGAAATTGCTCCCATGCTGGAATGGTGGAAGGCTTTACTGCCAACAGCACTGCTCACTTACTATGAGTGCAGTGAGTTTGGAAAAGGTGATTTCCTAATAAACCCACTTTTCCTTTCTCCTCACACATGTTTAGTAATGGAGAGAAGAGCATTGTTAATCTGGTCCTACCACCTCGTAGAGCGAAAGGGGCATTTCTGCGCTCTTTTCAGGGTAGAAGCTTGCTGGATCAGCTTAGACAATCAGCTTTTATTCTCTCATTGTTGCTTTTTATCTCCTGTTTCTGTTTGCTCCTTGATTTTTATTTCTGTGCTTTAGCAGGTGTTTGTGTCTTGTAGCCAAACTTTTTTAGTTCTACCAGCAAAACTTTAAGCAGACAAACTAATCCTCAAGTCTTAGATCTTTTCAGTAGTAAATTGTTTTTACTGGTGTCACGAGCAGCTATGTCAATTTGTACTAAAATCTAACAACTTGTCTAGTTAAGAAGCACTAGAGTACAGAAATGTGTGTTTCTCCTATCTGCACTGGAAAATTCTGGTTTTAGACTGGGTAGCTAAACTAGATTCTATCTATTGCATTCTGCAATATTGGGCACTTTACATTTCAGTTTAAAGTCTTCCTCTTCACACCCTTCCTGAAATATCTCTGCATCAAAACAAAGAATGAACTATTTTCCCCTTTGTATCTCTTTGGGGGACATAGCATCTGCATGATATTGTATAGCATGCATAACTTTCCTTATGTAAAAGAAAAAGCCAGAGAAGGAAAATTATTTTAGCTCTTAGAATCTGTACTTTTCCAGGGGCTGATTTTTCTGTATAGTGTTTGTTTTTCAGTAGGTTTTCTAATGTAGCTTCTTAGGGATTCAGGATCTGGAACTTCTTCCCTTGAGGGAAGACTTCTCCCTACAATTGAACAGAGCAATTAGTTAATATTAGTGAAGTGCTTTGAAGATGTGAAGTACTATGTAAATGTTAAGTATTATGAATATTAGTATTATTCAATTCATAAAGATTTCTTTCATGATTATCAACCTAGATTTCCCTTTGCTCGCTTTCATCCCACTACTGCTTGAAACTGCCTCAACTGTATTTCTTAATTCTTAGTGTTTACACTTTCAAAATGTAGACCGCTCTACTTGCCTACTTTCTTCATGTTTTAGTTGTCTGTTTCTCAAGCAGAAATATACAGCTATTTGAATTTTCTCAAAAGAGTCTTTAATCTTTAAATCATTCTTACACCAAGTTGAAAATAGTATTCTTATCATTACCATTTAGAAGACATATAATTGCTTTGGGGGTAGCTGGCCTTGCAAGCTTACATCTAGTTTGTGTTTTACTATTCTCTGCTACTCCAGGTTCTCTCCATTGCTGTCAGGATTTAGATTATCACACCGTATACAATCTTTTTTTTTTTTTTTCCCAAGGTTGAATGTGCCTATTCTTTTTCCATGTTTCTTGCTTCTCTAGATCATCTGCAAGGTCTCCAGTCTCAGACTGTCTTCCAACACCTGCAAATCTAATTAATTTGCTGTCATTTGTATCGCCCAAGTTCTCTATGACTTTTCATAAATAATTACCAGTTACTTCATAAATTCATTAACTAATTCCCTTTAGCCCTGAAATACATATCCTTCAGACCAAAGAATTTGTATCTTCTCCCCCCCCCCCCCCCAATAATTTCTTTTCATCAGCTTTGTATGGTCTTTATTATCTTCTACTTGCCAATATTCCTTTATTTTTTCTTATAGTATATTTTAAAATTATTAGTAGCTTGATCATTATTGATTTAATCTTATTTGTGTATTCATATACCTTCTTGCTCTTTGGTATTTCTTTTCCCTCAATCAACTTGCATGCCTTTTTCAAGATGTATTTTTAAACATTTTGTTGTTTAGATATGCACTTACTCAGGATTTCTTGCTACCCCTGTTTTATGTCTATGCAGCCTAACAGCCTCAATATATTCCTACCTAGTTCCTTTTCTTGTTTTCCATTTCGAGCCCTGGTAATATTTTCAAACTTGGGTCTTTGAACAGTCCCCTTGAGGCTGTATTGGCCACTTCTGAGTCCATATATTTTCTTTTTCGGAGAAATACATCTACTTTGCTATGAATGTAGTATGTTGACAGTGTGCCAGCCTTTTCTTGTATTAGGAATTGAATATATTCTCCCATGCTCACCAGGTTTTTATTACTTTGGTATTAGTTTCTTAAAATCCATTTGCCCCATTCCACTGTCACTGAAATGATTTCTAAATATCTCTTATTCGATCATAAAGCCAAAAGTCTAAGTTTTTCTGTTCCAGTCTTTATATGCATACCCGCTCTTCTCATCATGGATTGGCACACTATCAAGTTACCAGGAATGCATAATCAACATGTATCGCCATGATATTTCTAAAAGAGTTCTTTCACTGATCATTAACTCTTTGTTAGACGAGGTTTTTTTCACTGTGCTACTGAAGCACAATGCATTATAGCAGGGTGGTAAGAACCCATTTTTTTTGTTAGTTTCCCTAGAATACACCTTAAAACGTGTGGGTTTACCATGTTATATATATTTGTATAAATCTTAAATCAATGCAGTATTTTAAATAATCCCTTGGACATCTGTAAACCTTGAGCTGAAGCTGGAATTACGAACTTGTTTTGTTGCTTCATGTTTCAGCATGGATGGTAGATAATGTTGATGTTCACAGAGCTGAGAAATATTTAGGCATGACAGAATTACTTAAAGAGCTAAACACTGATTTGACTTCACATTTTGCTGAGACTTGTAGTTTTCCCTATACTTGCTGTTTAGTTAAGCGATGTTGGTTGGACAGAGTTAATTAGTGTAGATTTAAAAAGCCCAAACCCACAGGCTTTTGTGTAGTGGATCAAGTTACTCCTAATTTGCCTATTCCACTTACCTCTGACTACCTTTATGCAAGCTGTCTAACTAAATCCTATCTATAAAACCCAGTTCTCAGATGGGTGGGCGTATGGTGGAAGATGGGTGGAAAATTGGCTGGACCACCAGCCTCAAAGGTTTGTCATCAGTCCAGCTGACAGACATTGCTAGTAGTTACCTGTTTAACATTAACAACCTGGACAGTGGTACAGGATGCACCTTCAGCAAGTTTCCAGACAGCACCAACTGGGGAAGCAGTCAATAGGCAGGAGGGTAGGGCCTAGTATTCAAGGGACCTTAACAGGCTGGGAAAGTGGTTTAACAGAGACCTGTTTAGGTTCAGCAAAGGGAAATGCCAGTTGCTTTAACTGGGTTGGACTGATCTCATGTCACAGGGCCAACTGGGTGCTGACAACCTAGAAAGCAGTTTTGCCAGTCTGCTGAACAGCAAGTTGAACACGAGTCAGCAGTGTGCCTGTGTGATGGAGTAACCAAAACCACATATTGGGCCATAATAGCAAAATTGTGGTCATCAGGTTGATGAAGTGACACTTCCACTTTGATCAGCTCTGGTGAGACTGTATCTGTAGAGCGCAATGTCCAGTTAGGGGCTCCACAGTGCAAAGAGAGCATTGATAAACTGTGTGAAGTCTAGCAGAGGCAAAAAGGACAGTCAGGTGGCTGGAGCATATTACCTACTGGGAAGGCTGAGAAAGCTGGGTGCATTCAGCCTTAAGAAGAGATGATTCAGCACAGATCTTCTTGCTTTCTTCAACTACTTAAGGAGAGGATGTAGAGAAGAGGGAATAAGACTGTTCCTGGAAGTCATCAATAAGAGAGCAAGAGACAATGGGAAGAAGTTACAACTCAGGAAATTCTGATTAGCTGTACAGAAAACACTTTTCACTCTGAGGTTGGTCAAACACAGGAACCAGAGAAGTTGCCCAGAGAGGTGGGTTCACTATCAGCGGAGACATTCAAAACCTAACTGGACAAGTGCCTTAATCCTGGTCTTGTTGGCCCTGCTTTGAATGGAGGATTGGACTACGTGGCCTCCGGACTTCACCTTTCAACCTAGTTTATTTTGTAATTCAAGAGTTATTGGGAGGGCGGAAAGAAGGAATGGACTAACAGTTTTATTTTATTGAAAGCACAATACTGTTTTAGTGATATTTACACTCGGAAAACTAACATTGTGTAGCATGTCATGAGAACTGCATCTGTGAAACAAGCTGAATCCTGTGGACCTCTGTAAGAAATGGTAATAGTGCAAGTCTGTCAAACTTTGGGCAGTAAGGTAGAGGCTGTAGAGTGTGACTTACTCTACAGATTTGATTCTACGTGATCCTGAAACACATGCTATGCACAATACTGTCAGCTGATGTTCTTTGATTGCCATTTCACTGTATATATGGCACTCCAAAAATGTTGCAACTTTTAGTCGCAATGTTCCGTAATAATGCAGAGTCACAAAACATCTGTCCAAAACTTAGTAGCCTCTGATGTCTGGTTTGTCTTTGTTTCATTCCACAGGGACAACTTCAGGACCTAGGAAGGATGCAGCCATGTCTCCTGTGCTGATAGGCAGCAGCAAAAAGCATGCAACCACAGCCACATCACCCATCCAGCATGACACTTCACGGTAAGCCACTAGGTAATCTCTGGTTTAAGATTCTGCAAACATAACCATCAAATTCTCCTAGATGCAGTAAAGTGGCTGAATTTCTATGATATTTCATGTTCGCATGAGCTGGATAATATAAACTAAAATAGCACAAGCTAGATAGTATAAACTAAAAACTGCCATATCCTTCTGACATTTATAGTAAGCCTTAAATTGCTTGTTAGAATAAGAAAAGCAGGAATATGCCAAGTTCTAACATTTTAATTTTACTTAGATTTTGAACAGAAAGTATTTTATGTTCCAAGTCCTGACACATTAAATACGTTTGTAAATAATTTGAATGGGTGGTGTTAACCCGTGTTAGGTTTTAAATCCACTTGAAGATTTTAATCCCCCTGTATTTGCCCCCTTCCATATTTTATCAAATGGCATTTCTTTTAAAATGTTTTGTACCAGAGTTATTTTATGTTTAATGACAAACAACAAAATCAGATTAAGTCAGCAATTCCTGATTATACTATATATCTGAACTAAATGCAGTGGAAAAGCAGCATTATCACTTCTGCTCCAATGAAGAAACAGAAAGCATCATTGTTCTTACACTTACGAGTCTAAAAACAACTTGCCTTCTTTAGGCAGGATTACAATTCTAGTGCTAAGTGCCTAGAAAAACAGCATACGATCCTTACTTTTCTTTATCGTATCCCATATTTTCTCATAATAAAATCTTTAGTTAAGCAACAAAGTAAATGCAGATTAAAGTATGAATTTGCTGTACTTTACACCCACTAGTTACATGACTTTGTGCAGTGGGATGACAAGAATGTACGACCGTTTGTAAGAGTTAAATGTTTCTTGGAGAACGAGAGGGCTTGAGTCAGATTTAATCTTCTCTTGGCCCAGTGGACTAGGAAAATGTATGCTTGATATCATCCTTGTATTCTTGGCAGCAGCTGGCAGTTTATTTCTATCTTCTGAGAGAACTTGCGATATATAATAGGTGAAAAACCACTATCAATATTGACAAATTTGTACTTACTTGCTATGGAAACACTTTTTTTTTTTTCTTGTGAAGGAAGGGATGATAATTCTGGGAGGATTTAAGAACTGAGATAGATTGGGCTCCGTTTCCCACAAGTAACTGCATGTTTAAACAAACAGAAACCACAAGATTACCTAAGCATTTCTCTTTAGAAGCGAGGGTTACTTTTGCAAGCTGGTAATATCAGATAAAGAGTGTGTAAAGATACTGCTTGATATCATCTAATAGTGGTAAGTTGAGATTCCATTCAAGCACTGAGGAGTAGGTATAATTATTCACATCATACAACTGCTCAGAAAAAGGAATTTTATTCAAGAGGATTGATGGTCCATTCTTTTCCACAGAGGGGAGTAAAATATTTGTTGAAATATGCTGTTAGAAATCATATCAGATAAAGTGATCAGTAAAAGGAGTCTGATTAGCTGTCATCCTTAAAGGTTTATTTTAGTAGTTCATGACAAATTTTGAAAAATCCTGTATTTCTAGGGTGTTCTCTCTCCCATGCGTCCTCTCTTTCTTTCTTTCTTTCTGTCGGTGCTGTAAGTATAATTGACCAGTTTAAGCAGCCATGTTGTGCTTTCCCTTACTCATGGCCTTCTCTAATTGAAAATGGTAAATGGACAAGTGTTTCTGTGGAGACCTAAAGCTGATCCTATCCTTCATCAAAAAACCTGCTTGGGCAGCAGGTCAGTCTCAATTTATCACTGAATGGTTATAAGCTTAGAGTGCAGGTTTAACTAACTAAATTAATCAATATTGAGAATTATTGCTGCTTTTGTGCCACTAAAGTTAGGGTTTGTCAGCATGTTTGTTATAATCTGTGATTTGGGGGGCGGGGGGGTTAACAGCTTAACCACAACAGTTGGCACGGGCCTGAAACTTGCAGCACAAAGCCCTAGCCTAAGAGCAAATTTATTTATCGGCAGTACGTGTAAACCTAATTACTTTTGACTATTTAAATTTATAGGACTAGATTCAACTCATGTTTGTGCCAGCTTTAACTAGCACAAACCCTGGCACCCGGCAGTAGCAGCAATGGAAAGCCTGCCAAGGAGAAGGTGTTGGAAAGCGACAGAAGCTCCCTGCCAGCACAAGGCATCAGGGTGCTAGTGCAGCTTCTGGGGAGGGCTGGCTGGATAAGCAGGCATGGCAGGTAGAAGATGTGTTGGCTTGATAGCCTGTCTTGGCAGGGCTCAGCCGGAGGCTTCAGCGTGTTACAGCTACCTCCTGCTTGAGGAAGAATCGCTGCAGTCCTACTTTCTTCTCTCACTCAGAATAAATCATGTCTGGGCCAAGAAATAAGTGTCCCTAGAAGGTAAAGGTGTGTGCTTTGACAGCCTTAGTGCTAGACCTGTAGAAGGACCATTCATGCAGAATCAATGTGCACATAGTGGTTTCAGTGATGTCTCTGAAAGAAAAATAGCGTTTCTTTATCTGGCACCCTGAATTCGGCTTATAGTGGGTCTGTTTGCCTATCATGCTTCTATGCGTGCCTGTCACTGCTTTTCGTGGTACAGCCAAGCATTTCATGTTTGGTTATCCAGTGTTCTTGAGCCAAGTGTCTACACCTGCATGAGCCCCTTCAAATTATGTTTCCAGGAGGTCTGGAAGGCTTTTCTACTCCATGTACTTACTTATCTAGATCAAAGTTGATGCATTTGGAAAAAATAATCACCGGCAAGGTTGGGGCTGGGCAAATTGGAAAAGAGTAAGTTTGTTCCTTACCCCTAAGGCATAGTTCCTCTGGGTATATTGAACATCATCTTTTTGATGACCAGGGCCATCTTTTTCTTAACTGTCACTTGCCTAGAAGAAGGACTCTGAGTTTTGGCTGTGAGCTGGAAGTGATCTGGAAAGGGGAGGTAGTGGCATTTGTATGCTTTCATTTAGTAGTGAAGAAGTTTTTACATAAACTAGACCTTACCTTAGGTACAATCGGGTACTGATTTCAGCAAAACAAGTGTGTTGCAAAACAGAAGTTAAACTGCCCTAAATCAAAGTATTAAGCTATTCTTTAAAAAACATAATGTTGTAAATTGTGCCTTGTGAAAGACCATTTAATTTGATTACAGCCCTGGTGCAATTGTCAGGCTCTCCCCACGCAGGAACAGTTGTAGTGTCGAGTTTGGCACAGTAAGTCCTATAACACTGCAGATAATCAAGCACTTCAAAAGACATAGGCAAAGGTTGTTCTGCTCACCATGGAAACAGATAATTCTCCTGTAACATTTTTCACTTTGGGCATCTAAGAAGTGAATTTAAGAACAGTTAGGTAAATTAAGGGATTGAGTGATAGTCCAGGATTTCAGCATTAAGCCTATGTTTTCTTGTTGCAGTTTTAAATCAGAGCTTTAATGCTAGCTGAATGCATTGTCTTGGAGTGAACTTTCTTGTAGCCATTAAAATAAGTGATTTAGAAGTTCCTGCAATATGAATACTATATTCGAGCCATATTATTATCTGTTAGACTACAGTGGCCTGTTGGAGTTTTTATAAACAGATTGTATTGTGTAAATTTGTGTTTAGGGACATTTTAAAAACAAAACTATTTACCCAATTGCCCAGCACATCTCAGGTGAATGTGTATTCAGGGACTTTTAAGCAAATTAATATCTGATGTAAAATATAATGTGCAGAGTTGTATACTTAATAATGCACACTGGAATAGTCTAGAGTAGATCTGTTATGCTGAGTGTTAGGAAATACGACAGTGATGAGATTTAAGCTTTTGCCTTACTTATGCGGCAGTTGCCTTTCCGATCTGTGCATTTTGGATGTTTAAATATGTTCTGCTTTTAAGACAATACTATGAAGTTCCTCCTACTGTAGAGTCTAAGCAAGCACTGCCAAAGAAATAGATTTATTCCTGCCCCCCCTTAGGATCAGACACCATTCAAGATTCAAAAGGAGGGTAAGAAGGAGAAAACTTTCATTCCAGATCTAATTTAGGAACAGTTAAGAGGGATTAAAAGTGTGTTTGGAGTGGGATGGTGGGTTAGGTGCTGAACGTGGTAGGAGACGCAAGTCTTGTCTACTCCCTGGGAAAGCTAGCAGCACAAAATGTCCAATATAGTTCCATATGCAAGTGATAAAACCAGACGTTGGCAAATTAATCTCTCTTATTCACAGTGTAGGTTGTTAATTGTTCTCTCTGCTGGCTGTCGATATAATGTGAAATTTTCATTCCCCATTCAAGATGGAAAAAGTTGTGGCTGAAAATGTTAACATTTGCATTTTTATTTGTTGATTTATTTAAAGGACAGCCTCTCTTACAGCAATCCATCACTCAGTGACACCCCAAATATGAATAATGTATTGTGGACTTGCGGTTACAATGTGTAATAAGTGCCAGAGACAGTAGAAGAATGTTAACTATGTTGCAAATGTAATATTTATCGACTCATAGTTTATTGCTTTCGAGGTTCAATAATACTGACCATAGGACATTAATATCACTTATCTTGATTTCAGTTGGGCACCTCTGTATGTAGAAATAACCCATCTATCTCATACTTACAAAATAAATGTGAATTTTACAGTGCTTTGTAAGTGCATTGTAGGTTTCTTTGCTTAGTGCTCACAGTTCTCCTTCTCTGCCTTCTCATTTACTTATCTCTGATATTGATCCCACTCCAATTGCCTGACCCAGATGGTGAGCACCTCAGCACTCTTCCAGAGGCTTTATTTACTGGCTGCATTATGATCTTGTGCCTCTGATGGTGTTTGGACCAGGTCTCTCTTCCTGTTAAAGACCAGTATCAAAAGAGACTGTTTGATTTCTAGTGCTTCTGTCTGGAAAGACGATGTCTGAGAGGCTAAAACAGAGATAGCTCTCTTTTTGGAAAGACATGCCTAGCAAATTTAAATCGTCTGTCTTTTAGAGGATCATGGGTATCAGGAATAGAAGTGTTTAATTAGGTCAACAGTTGTTGTTATAGTCACTGCATTTATTTACAGAGAAATCTTTAATCCATGAATAG